TTTGTAAGATAAGATCGAAACCATGCAAGTGTATGTCCTCTTATTCCATAGATATGCATTTTCTTAGTTAATATATGGTGGTCAACGCAGTCAAACGCTTTTTTGAGATCCAGAAAAATAACACCGTTCAAACAACCCTTGTCCATATTCATTAACCATTGGTTTGTAATGTTAAGTAGGGAGGTTTGTGTGGAATGATTTTTTCTGAATCCTGCTTGCTGTTCCGTAAGTATGCCGTTAGATTCCAGATACGTTTCAAGCTGTTCGGTAATTAATTTCTCAAATATTTTAGAAACTGATGATAGAACAGAGATTGGGCGATAATTATCGCAATTTGTTTTACTTCCAGATTTATGAATGGGTGAAATGATTGCAGTTTTAAAGTCATCAGGAAATACACCCGCATGTATAGATGCATTAAATATGGCTGTTAATGTGGGTGCTATAACTTCAGCCGCATCTTTCAGAAGTTTGCCGGATATTCTATCATGGCCTGCTGACTTGGATGTTTTTATCGTCGAAAGCAATTTAAATACTTTTGTTAATGAGACGTTTTGAATATTAAACCGTGCGTTGGATGAGGTTAAGTAAGACTCTGCCGTCTTGGAACTTTGTGGAATGTCTTTCTTTTGCTAGGTTTGATGCTACCTCATTGAAATGCGCGTTTAAGCTATTTGCGATCTCCACTGGTTTTGTCACATTTTGATTGTCATGTTGGATTTCGGATATTAAAGTTGTTTTTGACTTTTTTCCTGTAAGTTTATTAATCGTTTTCCACATTTCTTTGGGATTTTTTTCGCATCCATTCAAAGTGTTCCTAAAATAAGTCGATTTTGTATTTTTAATTAATCTGTTTAGATCGTTACGTGTTCGCTTATAGGCATCATGAAACTGTTTCGATCCTGTTTTAACTGGGGTTTTTTCAAAAAATCTCTTTGTTTCATAACTTCCCTAATATTATTTGTGATCCATGGAGCATACTCACTTCTAACCTTTTTGGTAGTCTCGGGAGCGTGAAAATCGGCGATTGATAAAAATGTTGTTTTCCATTTTTTCCACATTATATTTGGATCCGGTTTATTTGTGAATGCTAAGTCTATTAACGTTTTCGTTGTGGACGTAATTCGTGTTGGTTCATTAATCAATTGCTCAAATTGAAAAGTTCCTGCAAGTTCGGCAAGTTTGTTTGTCTAGACATTAGCTTTATTGTTAATTAGGCGAGACCAATCACAATTGAAGTCCCCAATCAAAATAACTTCTTTATTTTCGGAGTCCATTTTAGTAATTAAATCTTCATAGTTATTAAACAATTCTAGTGGTGTATCAGGTGGTCTATACCAACAATTTATTAAAAAGGGTTTAGATTTTGGTTTAGAGATTTCGATTGTGATTGTCTCAAGGTTTTCGTCAAATATAGATCGTCTCTTATTATGTAGTTTATTGAATTTCGTATGTAAATTGCTACACCTCCGCTATGCCGGTTTCTGTCTTTTCTAACAACTTCATAGCCATTTAGCTTTATCTCGTGGTTTGGAACAGACAGATCTAGCATTGTTTCAATTAGGCTAATTATGTCAAATTGTTGTTTGTCAAGCTATATTTTTAATTCATCGATATGCTTGATTAAACTTCTTACGTTTAATTTTAAAACCTCTTGTTTTCGGATAGTCGGCATAATTTGCATTTGTATTACGATATGTATTATTGACGGTATCTTGATTTCAATCAAACACTTGGTTTTTTAAAAATTGTTTTACGTTTCCTGCAAGGGTAGATGTCCCTCTTTGGTTTAGATGTAGTCCATAATAATTGAGATGAATTTTAGTTATATTATCATGTTTAATATGACCCCAGTTATGCTCAGTACATAGTTCATCTAGTTTCTTATTAAAAACATTTACCTTGTCGGCAAGATTCGCATTATCATTTCTAGTTATAACTTCCGAGAGTGTAAGTTCAGTTCCATTTCCTTCTTGAGTAATTGTTTCTCCGAGTCTGCTTATCGCCGTTATTAATGTAACTGGTGATTTGGTTTGAAGGTCGTTCGTACCTACGTGTAAGACAACATGGTTTGGTTTTTTCTGAAGTGTTGGTCTAACGTAATGTATCATCTCGTCTACACCGGCCCCAGGAAAAGTTTTAATCGTGACTTTATGGTCCAATCCGTGTTGAATTTTCCTTGGATTCAAGTGTTTTAACATGGAGTCACCCAGAATGGCAACAGTAGGGCGGTTGTGCTTCGTGTTCTTAGGTATATTTGCTTCTTTGACTTTCTGTGAATCTTTTTTAGAGTGTCGGTTTCTTTCGTGTCGTTGGTCTTGTTTTGGGACTTGTGTCGCGGTAATGTCGTCGCTACGGTTATCAGATACATTATTGCTGTCTGATTCACTATCGTCTACGTCCAATATACTTAAAGCAGTATACTGATTCTTTTGTTGCACGGATTCTTTTGCTTTGACATATTTTGTACCAACAGGATTATGGGCTGACGTATTTCGTCCCTCCGTGGTCTTTTTGCGGTTGTTGACAACATTCCATGATGCCTGTTGTTGTTCTTGATCGTTTTGAATAATTTTAATGACCGTAACTAAACTATTCTTTTCGTTCTCCAAGTCCTTAACTTTTAAATTCAGGTCGGACATAACGCATTTATAGCTGTTGATTTGCTCTTTAAGTGAATCGTTTTCTTTTTTTAATCTGGCATTGTCTTTCGTGAGAAGTTTATTAACAGCCGATGACTGGTCGTTGACAGATGATTTATTCATGGCTTCGTTCTCTCCTCTTATCATTTTCTCATTATATAACTCTATTTTTGTCTCATGTATTTCGCTCTCGAGGTTGTTGATCTTTTGTCCCAATCTCTTCTCAAGTTTTTGCACAGTGTCAAGCAAAACTTCGAACTTGTCGTTTCCGTTTGTATTTGTTAAGCTCTCATCGCAATTAGTGATGCAAACGACCGAATCGTCTTGGCCGTTTTCGTTTGTGTCGGTATCGATGTTGTTTGTCGTTTGAGAATCAGCTTTAGTTAGGGTGGCAAGAATTCGAAGTTGAGATTTCATATCTTCGCTCATGTTTCCGTTTATAGTAAGTGAATTATTATTTGAATACCATCTAACCACGACCTCGTCCAAGTCCAGCATTTTACAGTAACCGCTCGACGACCATTTTGTCTCCTTCTCTGTAATTTCGTTCATCAACGTTTTTAGGCTTTCGAAGCTGCCGTGCCATTTGAATTTCCCTTTCTCGTTAACTGTGAGGTTGTTCGCTTGGCTATTCACTTCACTTGTGTGATTATCATTATCATTATCAGTTGTATTTTCGTGTAGATTTTGTTCAAGTGTGGAACTGTTCAACACACGTCTGTCCGCCATCACCACTTAGCTCAATGTCTACTATATTAAATATCTGGCTAAAAGACTAGAGACCATGTAATCATCAGTTTTGGTGTTTTGCCGTCGTGGGGATTTTGTATTCATGCATGAAATTTTCCTCCTGAAAGTTTCCCAAATTACTATATGGTCCTTGTTAATCCATTTACTGGCAGAACTCTACCCACTAACGAGTAAAATATTCTGGCGTTTATAGACAGTAAATACTAAAGCAGGGCGCATTGCCCGCTAATGGGTTAATAAGAAACATTGGCAGATAGGTTTGTTGACCCATTTACTGACATTACTCTACCACTGACAAATCAAATCTTCTTGTGTTACACAGTGTAAAATTGCCTGGCGTTAGACAGAATTAATATTAAAGTAGGGTGCATTGTCAGGTAATGGGTTAATAGACCTTGATGCTGTTTATCCACTTTTGACCCCATGGCCTCATTTTAATGTTGCATGGTTATTTACTCATGTTCCGTGCACACAATTTAAGAATAAGTTTGTGATTGTGCTTAATTGATCAACGAGAAACAAATTTGGAAAGAAAACATAGGGATATAACCTTCATGTGCAGGCCTGCCATACTACCAATGATGAAACATGGCAATGAGGACATTGCATGAGTCAAAAGTAAACTTCCCTTTAGATAATTGTCTAGAAGTAAAACATAGTATGTGTATATTACTACCCAAGTTAATTTTGCATTCGGTTCATGTCTCAAAAAGGCAGCACTTTCCTTGCGATAGTAACTCCTAGGTTATTTTATAGCCTATATACTAGGAATACACGCATGCAGCAACACTCCCTCGCTTTGCTAGCAAAATAACTATATTTTCTAAACATGTATAGTATTTGAAGTGGTTTTTGTGGTCACACGTCATTTTATTCTTTATATACTTTTAAAATTGAAAAAAAGTTTCTATAATTGAAAGATCAAACTTTTCCGTATCCCGCAGGAAGAATCGCGATAACCGGCGTCTTCACCACGTAGCAACTTAATAATAGACTTTCTTTATTCTCGTTTCAACTAAATTTTGAAGCCTAAATACTTGAAATATAAGAAACTGTTTCCTCCAAAGCATTAACAGGCATATTTTTTATGAGAAATATACGGCTATCTGCTATTCGATACGCGTGGGCAAAATTATTGTTGACATTTGTGTTGCGTAATTACTTTCGTTAACGAAATTGACCAATGGGAATTAAAGCCGAAGATTTTTCCGTCAAAAACAAATTAGTCATAGCCATTTGGGCAGGTGTTTATTTAACGACGCCCTCTCTTCTCCCGCCCGCACTAAACGCCTGCTACGCAGGCTAACCAATATATTGCCCTTGATCTGTTATGAAGTGAAAACAAATAAACTGTTCGGCAATCATACCATTTCACTCCTTAACTTCGCCATACTTTTGAGATCAGTGAGGAGGTCCACCCATGAAACAAAGCCACGCGCCCGTGATTATTGTTAAACTCTAGATAAAATAGCAGTGTTTTCATATTTTGCTTTCGTATATGACGGTATAATAAATGGACAAAGTCATAAAATTGTTAATAATTATAAAACTTTTTCTCCAGATTACCACCCACTCTCGATTGTTGTCACAAGCAAATTCTCGTGCCATAGCGTCAGCCGCTGGGTTTAAAGGTTCACAGTCTTATTGTATCAGCCTTCAGGAATTTCATACAGAGCAACAGTTCATCAAGACATTAGAGTAAGTGAAGTTAATGTTATACGTGTGACGAAAGAATTGGGGTATTAACTATAGGAATTTAAGATTTTGGGCGTGTGCATGCGTGCCAGTTACCCATGCAGAATAGTCAAATGCATATGCACGGTGCCAGTTATGCTTGTTAAATATAGACTATTCCAGTAATTGTTTTATGTGATTCAACCAAAAACAAGTGCATCCAGGGATTAATACGAGCACTTTTCTACTACCAGTACGTACGGTAGTAAAAAGTCAATCTTCATTTGAGCTTTGAAAATCAATCTTTCTCCGTAACTATACTTTTCACAATATGCTGTGAAGAAATTGTGGCATATCTGAATAATTAACAGCATGTAGAACGAAGAAAGTATTATCGAAACCGCTAGCGCTAAAGTGGTAAATTGGTCTTTCGAGATTTGCTCGCGCGGAATTGCACACCTCGTGACCACTTTTGAATTTCAACGGACTTCGTAAACAATCTGTGATGTTCTACTGGAAATGGCGTTTTTCGTGAAAAATTGCTTTGCATTATTGTTATGAGGTTAAATTCAAGTCAGTGACCGATCAATGGATCGATCGATGGATAGAGTAAACAATCCGGGGAGAGCTTGCAAATTATTTTTTATTACGTTTCCTCGAGCTTCGGGACGTTCGGCCAACTAATCGTTCATAGCTATTTGTAGATTATAACAATCTATATTTATATTCATGATGGTACATGTTCTTACTTATTTATCCGACATTTAGAGAAGTTATAATCAAATTACTGTTGCATTTCAAGCACTTGTTATTATATGATATGCCCCCTGCAATATAAATTCACGTGCTCTTATATCATAGAATATATTTTATCATTTTACAATGGCGGACATGGACGAGCGGTGACTATTGAGCGGCGGTGTGTATTACAACTGAGGTTGATTGTATTATAGCACAGTGGTTTATCTATCAAAGATACGGAGCGATGTATACTTGAATAAGTGCCAGTGGATAGTTTTGATATAAAATTATAAGTCAGCAGCTGATTTATATCAGCTAGCTTATATTCTTTCATGTTTCGCTACTCTGGTTTAAATAAATGATTATAGCTTATTCTTGTATTATTATATCGCGATATAACCCGCGGAAAGGAGGAACCGCTCACAGTCTATATCAGCTAGCTTATTCTTGTATTATTATATCGCGATAGAGCTAGGTTTACATGGCCCAATAAATAGTAAATAATACAATAAAATTGAAATTTTGCTCCAGAGGCAACATGCCGAGGTCGAGCGTATTTATATATTAGGGAGTTTACGAATGTAAGACGGTGACGTCAGGTCGACGACTAAAGAAACTGTTTCAAATAAACGATTGTATGAAAATATTGTTTTGTATTTACTTTTGTATGAATCTTAAATAGTTTTGAAAGAGCAAAACAGAGCTTTAACCCTCCGACCAATGTTGATCAACTTTGCTAGAAAAACTACCTGTGACGGCGTGCAATGCTAGCCTACTATACAAGACGTGAAAATATACATTTTGCCGTTGTCAACAGAGCTTGGACGACGTCTAAAATCCCTGTTAGACTTCATTTCTTTTGTACTATAGGATTAATGTCATTGTATTGATAGCCGTCGTCCTATTATTAGAGATCTTACGATTTTAGGACGGCAACGCGACGGCGACGGCCAAAACAAACTCCTTCAAATAAATGGTATAGTAAAGATAGTTCGTCGTATATTATCAATCGTATGAATTTAATACAGTTTTAGATGTTGAAGACATGGGTTTTATTGTTGGGAAGAGTTCTGCAAAACCCAGTTTGAAGTTGCACTTGTTGTAGCTTGGAATGCAGCCGTTGTATCAAGACGTGAAAATCTGTGATTTGGCGTTGTAAACCGCAGGGCGAGGACAATGTCTAAATTATTCATATATTGTAATTACTCATTTCTTTTCAATTATCTATTGTATTGGTAGCCGTTGCCGTCGCGTTGCCGTCCTAAAATCGTAAGGTCTCTAACATAGCGGCGACGCCGGCGAGAGATGATCTAGTGTTTGTAGTGAAGTATATTATTTTTAATAGCTGAAATTTCTGTACTCAGTGTATAATCTGTAGTCAGTAATCTCAGTTCGTATTGTTTCCGAGACGTTTTATATTATAATCAGTAATTCCAAGCTTTTGTCAAACTATTGGTATTTCTCATTTATGCAGTTATGGCATTTCATTGATAAACTTTAAAATATTATATTAGTGAGAAATATTTAGATGTCGGCCATAGTTCTGTTTGCATATTATTAAAGTCATTAGACAACAACTTCTGGAGCACGGGGCCAGCACGCAGTCGACTTGAACTCATCCTGTTTTGTCATTGGCTTTCTAAATCTGGAAATGATTTCGAATGCCAAGTGCCGGACAACAATTTCTTACAAGCTGTTCATTTTTTATTCATTTCGATTTTCGAAGGCGGTTTATTTTGTTTTGTATTACAGTAAATGTACAACGGAAAATGGGTAGAAAATTGAATTAAAATCAAAGAAAAGAGATCTGGATTAAAGCCACCATTCAAGGAATTAAGCCATGGAAAATTATTCATGCGAAAACAACAAAATTTACTGTCGTGGCTTGTAATATATAAAAACAAACGCCAAACAACTTCCTAATAGATGCATCAATCCCGATTTCATACATTATGCGAATCAACATAAATCTTAATTATCATTTGTCATATCAACTTTGCACTATCCTTGGGATCTCTGAGTTTATGATCGAGAGTACTATTTTTAGAGCTCTTTGAAAAGGTAACATTTTTGTGACTATCGCGTGAGCGATAGCCACTATGTCATCGTGTCGTTGCTTGCTTGCTTGCTTGCTTGCTTGCTTGCTTGCTTGCTTGCTTGCTTGCTTGCTTGCTTGCTTGGTTGCTTGCTTGCTTGCTTGCTTGCTTGCTTGATTGTTTTGGACCTTAAGCACGTCGGCAGTTGTCGTCATATATCCTGAATATTTTTTAGCAGACCTCTGTGTTGTCTGGGAATATTTTCAAAACAGTTGAATATATTTGCAGAGTATTCTGTCTAGGGCACTAAGACTTATAAGAGCCTGGCGGGTTGATTGTCTGCATTTGAACCATTTTCTTACTATTTAACAAATTGTATAAGTGATATGGTAAATCATCTTCGTTTATCTGTTAGATAACAGAATATTTGCGAAGAAAATAAAGAATTTATGTAATGTGATTTATCAAAGTAAAATCTACTTTATCTAAAGTAGTTTAATAACCAGGAAACTAGAATTGTTAGGAAGGTGTTAAGCCGTTAAGGGAATTTACTAATACTATAAGCTTGGCGCCGCCATATCTAAAATAGAGCATGCATATTGGCACGCAATGTGGGTGAGAGGAGTGGTGCAAACCTTACATAAGGGACAGCTACACGGCCAATCGTCAGTATCGACTACAACTGCTGAGAAAGACAGGATGGTTACTCCTAGCCAAATTATCCAAAACATTACTATTTTCAAACATATACGTATTAATAAATATTGTTTTGTTTACTTAAATAAATCGGCTAGGAGGATTGTTACTCCTAGCCAAATTATCCCAAAAGTGTGCTATCTTTAATGTTTGTCGAATGCCAAGAAAACAAAGCTTCGGAGAATGAATGCATGCACATGCGGTGGCTGCAGGGGCAGTCGGTAATTTATAATACATAAATCACATTACATAAACAGAGTATTCTTATTCTTTCGTTATAATAACGGTCAGCGTAGTCGTTAACTAAGCTATTGATATCAAAATATATTGGCCGCGGCTTAAACTATGAAAGTAGTATTCCGAATACATTAGTTCTATAAAATTGTCTTCAAGCTAATTCATATCCATTTCCGATGCGAAGAAAATATATTCGTGACACTATTATCCCAGTTAGCCAGACTAGCCTAGACATATACTGAAAGTGAGATATGCAAAAACAACGGAGCTCAAAGATGTTTTGTTCTTCGGAGTTTTATGTCAGAAATTCATATTAGTATCGATAATATTTTGCACCACCAATTACCCGTGTTGGGTAATTTTCAAGTAAAATGCTAATTTCATTGATATTTGGTTATTATTCTCTACATGCATTGCATATCGATATTGCATAGTGATATATGACGGATTACAACATACGGAAATCAGGCCCGTTTCAAACGTCGCGCTACTGCCCTGTCGATGCGTTAAAGACAAAAGATAATTAGCTGAAATTCCTCAAAGTCGATATATTGTGTTTAAGGTGGCTCCCTACAGTTTTCTAAAATTTTAAGTATTTTAGGTAACCTTCGTTTTCAACCAAATTTATATTGAACACACTTAAGACAGGGCAATATAATCATTTCCAGGAAAGTTCAGAAGTCTTCCTCTGTCGATTGCACTTTTATTGTCTAATTTTACAATCAAACGGCAATATCTTTTTTTCTTTCTGTCAATTTTTCTGAATTTTTTTTTTAAAGATTTATGGTTGAAAGAGGAATGACATATTAAAATTTGAAGGGATGTTTATAAGGCAGGTTTTGAGATATTCATGAATAACGACTACTAAAAATCTGTCTTATAGAATTTCTTGAAATTTTGATATGTTTGGCAAATCGTCATGCTTAGCAAACGTGCAAAGTTTAAAAAATTTTCACCGAAGGAAACGCGAGAAAAATAGTCCTAAATCCAGTTGAAGCTGTTGACGTGACAAAATATCAATTCGACATAACCACTATTTGCGCATGCGTGTAAATTATAATGCGTGAGGAACACGAAACTTTTTTCGCAATTTTCACGTTGATTTTTTGGCTTATATGTATCACACAGATATTTTTTACTTACTTGAAATGCAAATAAAATATATATAGGTCTATATATGTTCAAAATACAAAAAATTGAGAACACAATAACGCACTGACTTAATCCAACGTTTCTTAGATTTAGTTTTGTTGTAAAAATCGGTGTGAAAACTTTTCAAAACAAACATTCAAGTAGAGTTTGACTTTTCGTATAAAACAACTCGTAACTGTCTGCATTATAGTTTTATTGGATTCAGCAGATAAAAAACTACATGTGAACTGAGTTGAATGACAGGATTTACGTAAGTTTCAGTGACAGTTCAGGAGTGCCTTGAAGAAAGTATAAAATATAATTCAGTCCGTGGCACTGTTCAACATTGTGAGCATTATGAAATATCAGTACTGAACGTATTAAATATATAAAAAAAAACACACAGAAGGTAGGTAAAAAACTAGCTAACAACATACGTACTGTTCGAATGTTGAAAAGTGTAGGATTACAATAAAAAACTGGCGTTTTCTTTGTAGATAAAAGTACAAAAACAACTTCCCGCGGCTTGTTTCAAGATTTTTACCGGGCCACGAAGATTCCATGCCGAGTCGCGAGGATGACGTCTGAGCTATATAAATGTTTTAAACTGGACTATAACTGTAGGGCCTTAGGCTTTATACCTGCATGTGCTGATGAGCTACGTCTCACATCTCATTACATTTCGATTTTTTTCTTTCTCTCGAATGTTTATATTTATTATTTATTTATTATTATTTATTTATCATTATTTATTTATTATTATTATTTATTATTATTTTATTTATTATTATTTTATTATTATTATTTATTTATTATTATTTTATTTATTATTTTTTTTTAATTTTTTTTTTAATAAGTTATCCTCACAATCATGAAGCCGAATATAGAGTGTTTCTTTGTCTTAAAGTTATACGTTCTCAATTGAGACCCCACAGCATAAAGGGAATTTAAACAATATGTTCACTGAACACCAGTACTTAGTATATATAGGATTAGGCATATTTCGATAACCAATAGCTTGGCGGATATTTCCTAGTGGTGAAACGTTCTCGGGTGTAAAATGACCAAACCGTAGCAGCGTAGCTGTCCAAATAGCGGTAGTCACATGTACGCGCTGCGTACCTATTTTTTACTATGTTTCAAGGTATGAAGGTATCAATCCCGCGCGTGCAAATCTTAAGGGAGCGTTTTACCACTTTAGCGGTTTCGATAGTACTGGATCTTCAACACGCGATTAGAAACAGCACGAATGCGGGAAATGTTATTTCATATAGAGACAAAATCAAGAATTTTACGGGGGGAGAACAGTTTTGTTGGAAGTAAGGTAGTGTTATCCTTCTAAAACCCACTCTTCTTTCGAAAGAAAAAACGGTAGTTGACTAAAAGGCTATTAATCCCTAGTATTTTTGTATTATCTTTTATAATTCCAACACGGATTGCGCTGGATAACTACCCTAATTGTTTTTACCTTCTTCGTTTTCATGTAGCGAATTCTTTGTTGCACTTGGTGGTGCTGAAGGACTTCTTCTTGTTCAATGTGATAATGGTGAGGCGAACTTCAACCTAATTGCCTGTTGTCGATATATTGTTGATGATACCCGGCGTCGTACACTAGAAGAAATTGACATTTCCAAGAAACCTATCCACATCATCTTTATCATTCAGTTACCGAAGATTGCTGGGGGATGTCAACATTTTATAGCATTTCAAGGTGGAAAATGGCAGTCAGTTCATATTGACGAGCTTCTTGAATCGAACGAGCAGCTTCCACAGATTGAACAGTTGGTAGATCGCTCAGTAAGTGATCTATTTCAGCCAGCCTACCCTGCAAGATGTGATGTTATTGAAGACATCGATGTTGATCTTGATGGTAGTTTACCAAGTGGTAGCCAAGAACTGCGTGTGGAGAACACAGAGGTAAAAGAAAAATGTAGTATATACTACAAAACAATGATGGATCAAACAGTTTAATATCAATAGAGTTGATGTTCGCCGGCATAAATGTATTTTTGGCCTAACTCAGACTCATTTTAGCGCGAGCATATATAGCGAGGGTTAAAATGAGTTCTGAGGAGGGTCAAAAACATATTTATGCCCAAGAACAGCAACTGTATTGCTATTATAATAATTTTATACAGGGATTACAGTATAAAAAATAAACGGCAAATAGTAGAATAATTGCATTGTTGCCTTCACGCTATATACATGCATGCATAGCTATTTCGTTGTATTAACTACAAAATCACGTTATATACGAAAAAATAAACTAAACCGCTCTCAAAAGACAAAAAGAAGAATGAAAAATAGTTTATACAATTTATGAAGTGATAGTTTGGTATTAAAAAAGCTAGTTTCGTTTGTTAAAGACAAGCGAACTACGGATATAAACTTTTCTCTTCGTCACTGACACTGTGTAGAGTTTCTGCCACAAAATAAATAATCTTGTTTTTCCTTGCTTTCGGGAATGGTTTTAGCTTACTTAATTTTTTGTAAAATAGAGACTTGTATATGCTTGTATTTTTACAGCTATTTTGTCGGTAAAAATTTAAAAACCTTGAAAATTAAAGAAACCAAATTCAAGTTAAAAACTCAGCGACCTAAAATGTATTTTAAGCTAATTTGTTCATTTTAGCCCGCAAAATACGCATCGATCAACGCCCGCTAAAGATATCATAGCCTAATCGTTATTTTAATATAAACGTCTGGACTAATATTTACTCAGTTTTTCATATATTTATCATATATGCACATACAGCTATAGGTATCCTGACGATGAGTAAACATTAGTGATAGTCCAAACGTTGATATTAAAATAAAAATGAAGTTGTATACAGCGTGTCCATGCATGATTTTGTATTTGTTGAAAAAAATATGAAAATCCAGTATTCAATATTGTAACATACTTGGACCAACTCTTGTAAAGTTTTGGTTCGAAAGTAACAATACACTTCACAATACACTTTGTGTTAAAATTACTAACATCCAAGGCACAATATCCTAAACAAAGCCATAAACATTTCAAATTTATAACATATATATGTATGTCTATAACGTCTATGTGTCTATAACGCTCCAATCTTGACTAGGTACGAAAGCACAACCCACTTTAAATTTATCTATCTAAGGCTCGCGTATTTTATGTATCTAAAGCATGGACTATAAGTAACTGTACAGGGTGTCTAAAAAAACAACAACAAAAAAAACACGCTATCGAATACCTTTTTTAAATCGTGAGAAATGGCCACATATTCGTTAAATAAAAATTGCCGGTCGAAATCACATTCTTCCACTGTTGGGAATTGAAAATACATTAATTATGCAAAGTTATAGTCAATCCAAAAGCAACGCGACCCTGCTGCAAGCTATTTGTTTCATAAAACGCTTTGATTACGAATGTTCTCTGTTCAGGGGTTAATAGTTAACATTCACCGAAACACGTAAACGAACGTATATTCAGTTATGTTAATTTGCAAACGTAAGAAATTCATGTAGATTTCTGATTGGCTCCACATGTAATATGTGTAAATGAGACCATATATATGCATATTGTTTGTAAAATGTGCGAATTCTAAAGACTTTATCTTAATCACAATTTCGATTCAAGCTATGTCGACATGTGTAGTCGTGTAGATCACTATAGAGTCTAGAGATTGCATCGTGCGAAAATATGTTTGAATATACATGCAGACATGTGTCCAACTATTTGCTATTTGCACAGAAAATGTTTGAATCTTAAAACTTCTCCAGACACTAACAAGCTGCTCCATTTACTGTTCGGAGTACTCCGGATTTCCGGAACACTAATGGTATGGAACAGAATACAGTCACATGACTGTTCTGAACTGTTCTGACTACCCCGATTTTCGCGTAGGGGCAGCCAGAACAGACACGTGACACTGCCTATTTTCACATGATTGGAAATGGAGGCGACATATCTTGTGTATCCAATGCACTATATAGAGGGTTATTTTGAAGGGTTAACCGCTATATTTCGACATATATTTATTATATGCTATTTGAACGCCAGAGTTGGGCAAAATCAACGAGTAAAAACGTTGCAAAAGCATACGTAGATGTACAAATAACAGCGATCATTATACGCTTTATTGTGCGAAGAACTAATTAATATAGTAATGCATGGTTGCACGCATAGATAATAAACTAAACACTGTTCCAGAACATCGTGTGCACTCCATTTTATATCGTTTCAGAACAGTGTTCCAAATTTTCTAGAACAGTAAATGGAGCAGCCTGTAAGAGTCACAAGAGAATACATTAATTAGTCGTTCAACCTTCAAGGTCAAATCCCAAAAACAGACTAGCTGGCCATAAAAATTTTCTAGCGATCCATTTTCTTCTATCGATTTTAAATTAAAATCGTTTTACTCTGGCTCGCCGTGTTTATATGCATGCTTCAATGCTGAAATATCGTTGATATGTACATGTCCTCGCTATAAATCTCGTAATGTCATGATTGATTCATGAACGAATTTAAACTCTTCACAAATATGTTTGCCTTTGGCTTTGGGAATCGAAATATTTACGAAACATACTGTATTGAGTAGCGCAATGACAATGTCTATAGTATAGACATCTGTTGCAATTTTGCCCTTTTGGAATTGTGTTTACTTTCATGCAAATTCATATACAGTACAGCAATTGATATGGCACGAGACTGTCGAGTCATCAAATTCCATTAAAAATGAACTAAATTTTCGTGTACGAACAGCGGCCAGGTCGACTTCCAAAGTTATATCAGTTAACATTCTGCGGATATTCTGAGTTTTAGTTTGCTAGGTAAGAATGGCATGCATCAAGCGTGCCAGTTTTTCAGGGAATGAGAGAGACGTCTCCAGTTATAACATCTCATGCATGCAAATTTCGCGTTTATGTTCCGTACGTATAAGCAATCGTATGTAAATCACCAACACACTGCCAACTTTCGTGCGAATAAATTATGCCAAACGTTTATCCAATAAGAGCTTGCTATTATACGGTTGAGAACGGATTTGGTGCTATCAGCCAAAAGGGAACTGTAGTTTTGACGATTGTTTCGTTCAGTAATGAGGCTTTACGTTCGTTTACGTGCTTCGATGCATGTTAACTAATTGAACCATGTTTAATGGACGTTCTGATGTGATTTCGACCGGCAATTTTTATTTGACGAGTATGTGGCCATTTCTCATCGTTACGATTTAAAAAGAGTATCATTGAAACTGCCTCGTCCCTCGTCGCTTCAGTTGGGAATAGAGATCAGTGGAAAAACAATGGGTGCGCGCTGCTTAATGGGAATGCGATAGAATCTGAAGCGACTCGGAAGTGCCGCATCCAAGATGGCGTCCATTGTAATGGCCGAGATAATGCAAATAGGGAGAATTTTTCAAGGTCGTTATGTATGGCGAGGAAACGTTAAAGTATATTTCCTGTTTATTGAAGAAGGGTACGAAGGTATGTTCATTTACATTTTACATATTTTACGCTCAAAAATGTATCAATTGTCGCAATTTATTAATATATGAGCATATTTAAAAATATCAATCTTATTTTGACTGTTGTAGAATGTATACATTGGCAAGTAGTTCTTGGTTCGACGTTTCTGAGTAGTATAGGAACTGCCGGTTCTAGACCACTAGCTTAAATCTGGAATCCGTTAGTTTTTTACCTTTAGTAAAAATTAATTATTTTTATTATATTAAAATTGATCATTTATTTTTGGTTTTGAATTTTGTTTTTGTTAGTTTTGATTTTGAATTTGTTTCTATTTTTTTAATTCCCTAGTTCCAATTAATTCTAGTGTTTGTCTTTTTTGTTTTAATAGTATTTTTAGCTCTTTCCTTGATCCTGGAGGTAGGATTTCCATTTTTCTCTTAATGGACTCAGTGTCTGGTAAAATCATTCTTAATGGGGTAAGTTTCTTGGACTCCCTCCTCCTCTTAATTTGCTTCGCTATTTTCTGGAGTTCTTCTAAATCGTATTCCCAGTTCTCTTGTTCTGGTTCTGGTTCTATTTTATTTTCTTCGTTGTTTTCAAAAATATCATCCTCCAATTCTAGATTGTAGAAATTTAATTCTGCGTATTTTGCAAGTGAACTTTCCTTATCCCAACAGTTTCGTAACCATTCCCCGTACACTTCTGATTCTGTCATATTTGTTTTTATGGTTGCTTTTTCGGGTAGTACTACTCTACTTTCGGGGATCTTATCGTAGATGTTTTCTACTCTTTTGAATGTACAGTACTAACTTTTTGGTTCGACCCTTATTGGTACACAGATGTGTTTTATTTCTTTTTCGGTGACCTTTTTGGTGTCTGTTTTGTTGATCATTCGATGTCCGTAAGCATAACTGGTAACTCCATCCTCTAAAAGATACCTTTTATCATCAAAGCAACTCAGAGTAACCTTCTTTAATTCGTAAGTTCCAATTGTATGCTTTACACTTCTAATTGTATTCATATTATGTCTCATCCTACCTTTCGTATTAATTACATTCTTAAAGTTCTCATGAGTGAGCTTGTTTCTGATGACATACTTTTTAACTCCTTTAGCAGTCATTCCACCTCCACCGTTTTCCTTTACATAGGAATACATTTTTGACCTCAACCCAACAAACTCAATTATAGGTACTCCTTCAGCTTCATCCTTAAACTTACCTATAACCTTCTTATTGTGAGTTGAGTAGTACGGAGAATCTTTTGGGTAATCTGAATTATTCCAACAGTTTTGCTTTTCACCAATTCTCTTAAAGTCCTCATAAACATCATCCGTCTTCAGTTCATACATTAGACTGTCAGTATCAGTGAACAGTAGCCTTGAATTATTACCGTACTCCTTTTTAATTATGTTGTAATGAAAATCATACATTAAAGTCTTTGATAAGTCTAGAATGCTCATTCCCACATAGCAAGGTTTATTTAGCGTTAGAACCTCTTTCATTCGCTTTACCACTATAAGATTTTCATTCATAATTCGATGTGACTGGAAGCATGGTGAAGCTGTCAGTTTTAGGAGGTCATCTTTGGAGGACACTAATTTTACATCAACCCTTTTTCTAAGATTTTCCATAGTCTTTCCGTAAATCGAATTATTCATCAACTTGAAGAAGTTCTTTTCGAACGTGTTACGAGCTACTGACCCTTTTCTTGTATTGAAGTCTATATAGTCCTTGAGCCAGGGAGACTGTTTAAATGTAACTGCTCTATGGATCTTTGTTAGTTTCATCCCAAGGTCTGTGTACAGTTTCAGATTACGTACATGTAAGACGTAGTTCTTCTTTGGACCTAGTGAGGTTACAAGTTTTCTTACTCCTCCAATTTTCAACTGGAATTTCTCAGCAATATTTTTAGCATAATCTGACAACATGGAAGCATCAATTTCCTTACTCTCTGGTGCTAAAGGATAGCCGTTATGTAGATTGTGAAGTTCCTCAGGATAGTCTAGGTCAACCTCTAAAACCATACCTCTTTTGCTGTCTTCCAGGTAATCATCTAGATTTATATTATCAACTTCCTCGACCCACTCGAACTCTCCATTAGGAAGTGATTGTGACATTGCCCAGCCATATAAATTGTTGGCGTCGAGGTACATTAAGTATTTACTTTCAGACGACTCGTTGTACGTTTCCATGTACTTATTATTTGCTGTTGAGTGTCTGTGAGCAATATAACTTATACCACCCCTCATACCCTTCTCGAAGAACTGGAACATATCCATATCACTTACAAGTTCTATTTCTTCACCTGACTGTTTTAGAAAAGCGTCCCAACTTAAACCAGGTGCTGACATGTAATGTGCAGGGTCTAGTTTGTAATTTTCCAGACATGTTCTCCTGAAGTTTTCAAACACATCAGCTAGCAGAAGAACGTCGGTCTCCAAGTAGAGATCGTGGTAGTCTCTCATGGTTTTCATTCTAAAGTGATCCCATACCTTTTGAGCTCTCTGGTAATCTTCTTTCTTCACCTTTGACTCATACAGTGAAGAGTAGAACTTATCCTTACTTGGAAGACCTTTGGTATCAAATTTGCTAATATCATCGAGGAACTCGTAAGGGAACACTCCTTTTTGCGTTACTAAATTAAAGTCCTCACCTTTCCACCTCTTACCTACTATTTTAAAGTCCTCAGGTGAAAGGTTACTTACCAGTGACTCTAGTGAAGAAGCCATGAACTGTATAGAGTCTATGAAGACTAGATTTTTACCCAGTGAGAATGAAATATATTTTTCCATATTATTTGGGATCACATTAACGTTCATATTGAACTTACCAATTTCCTGCATGATAAGATGACTATCGTAACCTCTCAGATTGTGGAAGACCACGGGAACTTTCCATGAAATTCTGTACTTCAGGTTGCATATATTATGAGCAGCTCCACGGTACAGTCCTGTTACATGATCATGGTCTCTTACCCTATTCTCACCAAGATCGTTGCCGCATATTGAACAGTTCCTTGCAGCTTGGAATTCAAATTCTTGTTCAGGTGTAATTACCATCTTTTTCTTAAATATTTTGTTAACCATTTCTCTACATCTCAGGGACTCTTTCAATACAGTCTTTAGGAAGACTAATGCAGCATCCTCTCCAACGTAACTCTTATACTCACCGGAGTACTTATCATCATAGTGGCAGACAGTCTTCAAACCAAAACTGCAAGCCTTGTGTGTCTGGTAAAGGTCTGTACTACTTTTGTCCTCAGAGCTTTCTGACTCCACTTTTCTCTCCTCAGGTACCAGTATGGACTCAAAATCGCGTATATCACAAAAGGTACAGGCATTGAGTTTCTGTGATTTTTGAACTTTATTTTTGTACCTTCCTTTGGGTGATCCACAGCCTGGGTTCCATTTACCTCCATACATGTTTCCTTATGCTTTTCAAGTGACTCTTTACTCACACAACTATGAAGACAGTGTAGACAGAAGTGCTGTCTGTGTCCGTGTTTACTTACACTATGCAACATTCTATTAATATCCTTTATGAGTACGTAATGGTTGTTACCCTTACCGTCACCTAGAAGTAGAAGCTCCATATGCTCATCATACCTGGATTTAGAGTTCCTTATGGGGTAGAACTGTTTTTTACCACTATAACCAAACACTGATATACTGATGCTATTTTTCCTCTCGATCTTATCAATATCACTTATCTTCACAGGGAAGTCTATATCCTTGTAATCTAGGTTCACTATGAAGTCTCTATCTTCTTGTGTAATAGTAGTTGCTCTTCTGACCTTAGGATTTAGATGTCTCACATGACTCCACAAGAAACACATATTATCATCATTTTTCATATTGATGAGACCACACTTTGGATTACTAATGTCCCGTGGAAGTTTTAAATATGAACTACCCTTTAACGGTTTATACATTGCAATGTTTACGTAGTGGCTCTCAATATTGAGTATAATCCAGTTTGAACCTAAGTTTTGGAAGGTTTCAATCCTGGACAATATTGTCAGCTGGTTTTGAGCAGCAGTACTTTCAATGTCCTCGAAGTTAGTTGTAGTACCAGTCTTAGATTTTAAGTATATCGAGTCCTTCTTGGTTTTCCCGTCACCAATTTCCTTTGACATTCTCACCTTTATAGTCTCTGTGTACTTCAACCCACCCATTCTCTTCAACTCATTCACAAGTATTCCTCTCACTACCTGTCTACTTGCAGTCATCTGGTCCAGAGGGTCCATATAGTGAGGAGTTATCGAGTAAGTCACAGCGGCTCCATTTGCTGCTGTTTCAATTTTCCTGTGGAACGGCTTCTTGAGATCTGTTCCGAATGGATCAATTTCGTGTTCACCTGGTGTAATCACTGGTGGTTGTTCCTTAACTTCCCTCGAGACCCTTACAGGCTTACGTAACTTGGGAGGAGACACTACTTTGGTTGTTCTAGGCTTGGGAACTGGTCTTTCCTTAGGAAGCTTAGTCCTAGGTTTTGGTACAGGTCTTTCCTTAGGAAGTACCGTTCTAGGCTTGGGTATCGGTTTCCATGGAGCTACGCCCTTAGGTGCCTCGGGAGCTTTTCTTACAGGTCTCTTATTAAGATCCAAGTAAATTGTGAACTTACCTGGACCTGTTGGAGTTATGACACTATCTGCTGGCACTGAGAGTTTTACCTTCCTTTGGCTCAGGAATCTTTCTGCTACGGTTTGCTTCCTGACCTTAACATCAGTCTTTGCCTTTGGTGGTCTACCTCTTTTCTTAGGAATCTTCACTTCGGCATCAGACTTTACCTTTGGTGGTCTACCTCTCTTCTTCGGAATATTCACTTCGGCATCAGTCTTTGCCTTTGGTGGTCTACCTCTGGGACGCTTTACCTTAGGATTCCTTTCATTTTCGATTCTCTTGATTTCCTCGTTTACTTGAGGATCATCCGTGCGACATCTGCCTCCCATTGTTGGTGGTAATCCCTGAACGTCTCTTGCTAGTAGATTCTGGTATGCTTCCTCTACAAGTAAGGCCTTTGCTTTTTGCCTGTCAGAGTATTTCCATGTAGGCATAATTCCTCTTTTGCCCTTGTAGTTCAAGGGAATGCGTCTAGGTTTCTTTACCTCCATATCACGGTCAACTTCGTCTACGAATTGTCTTTCTCCTTCAAAGGGACTTTTGCCCTTATCATTAGGTGCAATCCTGTAGTTTCTCTCCTGAAGGATATCTTCTACTCTTGTATCAATATCCTCATCACTATCTATGATGCTGTTGAGAGCCATAAGCTGTTCTACGCTGAATTCGTTTATATCAAAATAACTCGCCATGTTTTTCAACTGTTTCTCTATACTATATATGTAAAAATAAATTCGAGTATTTAATTAATAATTTACTACTAATTAAATACTTGAATTTATTTCTTTAATTTTTGTTAATTAATATTTAATTTTATTTAAACATTTATTTTTATTAATTAATATTTAATTTTATTTAAACATTTAATTAATATTTATTTTTTATTAAATAATATTTAATTTTATTTAAACATTTAATTAATATTTATTTTTATTAATTAAATAATCATTTGTTTTAACTTTCCATTTATTATAATATTTACAATTCCCAGGTTTCCAACCAAGCTCAACAAAAACTTTACCATACAATCTATTCTCAAGGGTATCCACAATCCTTTGAGTCTTAATGTCCTCAGGAGGGTTCCTCAGGGAGATACCATTCATGCTGGCTATCCTCAGTAGGTAAAACTTGTATCTAACTATGTTGCGCCCCCTTTGTAGTCTAAGTCTTTGTATACATCTTACTATGCTTGTAAACTGCTCCGTTATTATGTCCCTATCCCTAGAAGCAACATGTTCGAATAAGTGTCTCTCAAACCAACGGACTCTATTGTGACAAGACTTCTTTTTCAGGTAGTCGTTCTTGTTGTAGTTGTAACTAACATAGTACGAGAAGTTATTCAAATCACTAGCGCCACACTGTGTGCATGTATCTGCTCCATCTATCATTACAATAGACTTACTCCCACATTCGCTACATATTGGATCATATGTGTGTTTTCTCTTTGTTCTACTCTCTGCGTGCTTTCTCACAGCAGCCTCTAACTCTTCCAGTGTATTTGTCTTCTTACCTACATAAGCTATCTCCTCAGGTGTTACCATCTGTAACCATTCCATTTCCCTATACTTATAGGTGTGAAAAATTTTATGGCATTTTTATAGAATTAAATAAGCTAACCCACCCACTGCTGCACCTGTGATTAAACCAAATATTGTCATATATTCTTCCATTTCGGAGCTAGGTTTGTAGTGATTACTCAATTGCGGCTTCCTTGGCATAGGCTTACGTCTTAGCTCATTGATTCTTCTAACTAGTTCTAATGACTGGTTCGTTGACTTAATATCCCTACTTGCCTCAGCTAGTTCTGACTTCAGTTGGGCAATCCTATTTCTCCTATCAGTGACCTCCTCAAGGTACTTCTCTCTTTCAGCTGTTAGGTTCTCCATTGCCTTGTTATGTCTATGAGCCTCCTCAGCATATCCGTTTTTGTCGAACATTTTAAATAAGTATCCTGCTCCAGCAAATGCAAATGCGTTAAAGAGTCCTCCTGCTACTGCTCCCGCCATTGTATAGTCTTACCTAGGTTTTGAATGGATCATCTGGTAGATACTTCTTTTCTTTCAAGTAAGAGACCAGTAGAGATGAAAGACTAACTGAAATAGCTAACTTCGCCATTCCTTTTACATTCTCTGGGGTACCTAATGGTTCTTTCAATAGTTTCTTTGATGCCATTGATATACCAACTGCTCCTGCTGTAAGTAACACTGCGTCGTACACTTCCCTAGTCATCTTTGATTCTTTACTCATCTTGCTATAATATATGGTATGTTTAATGTATCATTCAGGTGAATCTAACTTGGACTCATCAGCTTTCTTAGTTACTTCTACAGTTTTAGGGATGAACTCAGGTTCTAGTTCCTTAGTTTCCCTCTGATGTGTTTTATAGGCTAGCACAAGAGATATCAATGCAATGGCCACTCCTATGTAGGTAATCATACTGTCATTGCTAGGTGACTCCCTAGGTTCAGCCAGTTTCTTTTTCCTCTCCTTTGCTATTTTACTGATCGCAGCTAGTCGTTTTCCTGCAGCTACTCTTCTAGGGTCCTTCTTCTTTTCGCTTGTTACTGGTGCTTGAATTTGCTCAGGTTTATCTTCCATTCTACTTGTAAGATACCTTAGGTTTAACTTGGTTTCGTCTTATGAGATATCTTGAATTCTACTTGTAAGATAACTTGGATCTGCTTGCAAGATAACTCGGATCTATTGGTGAGATAACTTAAATCTACTGGTGAGATAACTGGTGAGATAACTTGGGTTTACTTGCAAGATGTCTCAAATCTACTTAGCAGTACTTGTGTGATGTGAACTTTTGTTTGTACAGCTTTACCTCGCTGACTGCGTTTTTCACCCTTACTGTTTTAACTTTTTTCTTAAGTGAAAAGTACTCGTTAATTCTGATACAAATTTGTATCAAGTCATCGGATATCATTGTCATGTACCCTATTTCCCTCAGTCTTTTGAGCCATAAGGCTTGCTTCTCACTTGTGATCCCAGTGCCCTTAGGAGACTTAAATTCAATTGCGAATCCTGTGTACTCCCCCATAGGATTCTCTATGGTAAGATCTGGCTGACCACCTTTATAGCCCTTCTTCCAGGCATCACATCTCTTTGGTACCGTGTCCTGATACTCACCAAGACTGGGTACTATTACAGCCTTAGGGTAGTTGTTCCTAATGTAACTCACAACTGTGTGATGAAGGTCCGTTTCGTTTATGAGGATCATTTGGTTATGTCTGAGTGACCTTCTATCTGGTAGTGTGTACGATCCTGTTTTATGGATAGATGGAAGGACTTCATTGAACACCCAACCATGAAAGGCCTCTGCTGTTGGAAGTCTTGAGCCAAATACTAGTTGGTACAAACCAGGTTCTCTTAGGAAAACACAGTTTGGTTGACTGCTAAAAGTGGGACCCATGAGTGGTCCCACTTTTAACTCCCCAAGTGTTACCTTATTTTGCTTCCATACATGGGTTTGAATAGCTTTTTTCGTATTTGAGTACCCTAGGGATTCCGCCACATCCTTTGCGTAGAACAGTACCTCCTCACCACTCTTAACAGTTCTTACACTAGCATTCAGCTTTTGGTTCCTGAATAATTTCTCCATCTTCCCTATACTATATATGTAAAAATTTTTTGGGCTATTTTATTCATCAATTTACGGAGCAGCATTCCCTCTTCCCACCCAGCTGCTTCCTGCTAGTGTGTGCCACCGACTACAAAAAATTATTTTGCCTACTGCGTTCCATTTAGATTCTTGTATATATTTACAACTGTTTTTATTGTATCATTTTTAAAAGCTTCAAAGTCATACTTTAGTGAATCCAAAGTTGCCTGAATCTTATCAGTTTTCTCAATCAATTCATCAATTATGTCTTCGAATTCTGTTCCTCCCCACTCGATTGGTTCTCCGGAGTTTGACATTCTGTATGTAATATCAGATGTTTAACCTTCTCAGACACTTCCTCAGGTTCCTCCTTCTTATTCCACTTATGGGCAACTACATGTTTAGCTGTTGTACAGCCACCAGATATGAGCCCTAGGAATGGGATGTTGGGGGATATCGTTCTGGTTAGATTAGATCCTTTAGAAGCTTGTCACTAAGTAGTTCCTCTGACAGTTTCTCTGAAGATTCCACTGCACTGAAACTACCTAATACCGCAGCAAACTTTGAGATAATAAGTGTTGATAGAAAGTCACTTGCACATGACATCCTCTGACTTTCATACTCATGGTATAGTCTATCTACAACATCCTTGTTAGACTTTCTTATGAAACTTGCGGACTTCTCTATTATACCATCCCTCGATAGCTCTATAAGTTTGTCCCTTTTGCTTTCAGTTTGCGACTTATCTGCGGTAGACTTAGTTTTTCTTGCTTTTTTATGCGGCACCTTTGCGGCCTCCTCTACTTCTCTTACAGCCTCAAATATTTCTTCATCAGATTCAGTTCCCATCATCTATACTCTACGCGGTGTTTAGTTTAACAGTGTATGTGTAAGGGTGAATAAGTAGTACGTCCAGTGCGGTGAACTTCTCATCTTTTAGTATTTTCGTAATCTCTGTAATTGTTTCCTGAGGAACGCCACTTAGGTAATCATCTGTTATGACCTTCATATCCCTGCGACTAGGGTTGTAGAATGTAACTAGCCTGGAAATGTTCTCCCTGAATGGTTTTGCTACTGATGACAATTGTTGGGTAAGTACAATGACAGATAG